AACAGGTCAAGCACAGTGGCATGAACCTGTAATCCCAGCAACTTGGGAAACTGAGGGGCGAGAACTGCTTGAAGCCAGGAGTTGGAGACCAACCGGGACAAAATAGAAAAACCCTGTCTCTAAAAAGAAATTAAAAAAAAACATATAAACAAAAGGAAGGCAATGGTAGGTACATACTATGAAGGATTTAATGTGATAGAAAGCAAACAAAAATTAACCCGGCAATGACAAATCAGCTCTAATTTTGAGGATTAGTATAAGCCAACCCAAGTCTGTTTTCTAAATATGCACCACATACATTCAGAGATCCCTTATCAGACAAACCCAAGTACCACCAAAAATGCAAAAAAGAAGACAGCAAAGATCTCCCTGGTTGACCAAAAACTAACGCCTAAACACATTACTCATTGCAGAACATCCTAGTTCTGAATTAGAAACCCATCTCTTGATATTTTAGAGTCAATTGTAGCAGGCATGCTTGTTGCTGTTTTTAATTGAACACAGGAAATCATAGTGTGAATTAGGATTGGAAAGTAACAATGGTGAAAAGAGCAATCAGAATGTGAGGAAGTAGACAGGAAATCATAAATCACGAAGACAAAAGTTCCAGCACTCTGAGATCCTTTAAAGTACAAAGGGACTGTCACACCTCAGCAAACTGCCAAGGCTTGACTGCAGTACACTCAAGCCATCATGAGAGCCCTAAGGCACTAAGGAAATATTAAACTATATTCAGTTATTTTATAAGGACAAATTAGTGTTCCACAAATTACTTCTTAAAGAATTCCATCAAAAGCAGTTATTTTAATTTTTGTTTTACGTTTTACACATAAGTGAATTGTTCAGTTATTTAGAAAATTCAACTGTGAGAAACAGGGCTAGATGAATAATCTAACAGCAGTGAACTCTCTCTCTCTGACCTTTACTAATAGAATAATTGTCACTGACCTAATTTACAGCCAAAGAAATACATTAACCTTTTTTCCCAATAGATCTGGTCTGATTCACACTACTTGTTCTGGCCCCATTGACCAATGGCATAAGCATGTAGTCAGCACTATTGAACACAACAGTAAAGCATGCTTGACATCTATTCAACATTTCCTTTTCAACCAACCTAGATAGAACACAGAGCAAAGCTAGGAATTCTTAGACTGGACTTGGGATGGTGGTAATCTCCAAAGCAAACCACAGCAAGATACTTTGGACAAGGATCCGACTTAAAAATCACTTCAGATTAATGGAATAACCATTTAAAAATAATTTCTGTTGGTTTAGTTTCTCAAGATGGAAGATGACAAAAAGATAAAATCAACATATCCTAATTTTTGCTTTCATAGAATTCAATACTTCAATGACTTTTTATAATACTATTACAGTTTAAAATGCCCAGAATTACTTTGTCAGTGATCATTCCCAGTACTTTTAGTGTCAAATCATTTTCATTTAATTTCACATCCAAGGCTCACATTTCTCTTCAATTTATTCTTTCATTCAACAATTTACTGAGCACTCACTCTGCTAGATACTGGGTTGGAACCAACAGAGAATATAATACCATGCCTATTGAGCTTAGTACATTTGGGAAATGAAACTTCCCAACATTTATGAAACATTTAAATGAATTAAATGTCATCTACTTTTTCAGTGCCTTGTTGAAATAGTTATAGAGACACGCTAAGAATGTAAAAAAAAAAATGAGGTCTGAACTTATGATTTCATATGACAATTGTTTTTTAATGTCTGTTTAATGTGAATATGCCACATATTTAAATTTATCCAGTACCATCACCTACATATCAAATGATCAGATGCCTAAAGGTTTAAATTAAAATCTGTTTTTCCTCTCGAATGCCTTTCTTCTACAAGAGTACACTGAATTCCATGGTAACATTTTAAGAGTATAACTTTCTTTTGGGAAATGAGGAAGGGAACATAAAATACATTTGAACAAAGTAGTGTGATTATCTTAAGTTTTTTTTTTTTTTTTTTTCAGTACAAAAATTATAAAGAAAACACCCAAGTTGAGGCGAACCAGTTCTGGTGTTCACGGGATCCTAAGGCATTTCCTCTTCTCTAGAAAATGTGGTTTCTGAGAAAAGGTTTTGTACCTAAGGAAAGAATTTTACTATATAAAGCATATGAACTATAAGTTTTTTTAAAATGTAATTAAAGTGTCGCATGTATATGTCTTTGGGCCGCTTAATAATAGTGGTTTAATACTCAGTCTAATTAAATATACTAAGTAAAATTTATTTTATCTTACAGAGAATATTTGAGTGGAAAATAAAAGGTTCAGAAACTAAGTTTTTGTCAAAATTTGAAGTACTATGCCATTTCAGTTTTTAAATCGTAATAAAAAATCACATAACAGCAATTTGTACCATTGTTTTTATCTACGTACCACTTTAACAAAATTCTCAAGTTAATAGTAGGATTTTCTTACTGATTTACCTAAAAACACCAGAGCTGGGTTTCCTTACAGATTTTATCTTCTTCCATTGTATTTTATGGGGAAGTGAATAAACTCTAAAGAAACTTACAGAACTTAAAGCATCAGTTGTTTGTTTCACACAGTGTTGAGTCTCTTGGCTGCTAAGAGTAACCGAAGGAATTTATGTTTAATAAATGTGTTTGCTAAAAGTAAGTAAGAGTTAACCACATTTCTACATCTTCAATTGCTCGAGTTTTCAGTGATACAGGAATGCTACCGCTAAGACATAAAACTGTATGGCAGTAGAGAATAAGTAGTATTAAGCCTAAGAGAGTGACAAATACTACATTTCCTCTTCAAAAACAAAACAAAAACTAAATCATAAAAAGATATAAACAAACCTTTTAGACCAAATAAATGTGCTGCCATATAATAAGATCTCAGGATCCATTTTGTTTAAAAACATCACACTTCAGAATCTAAATCAAGGACCTGGGATCCTTATTTGAAAACAAAACAGAACACAAATGGATTTATTGAAGAGTAGTAAGCAACTGGGAGCAGTGGCTCAAGCCTGTAACCCCAGCACTTTGGAAGGTGGAGATGAGAGGATTGCCTGAGCCAGGGGTTCAAGATCAGCCTGGGCAACATGGAGAGACCTGGTCTCTACAGTAAATCAAAATATTAGCTGGGTATGGTGGTGTACACCTGTAGTTCCAGCTACTTAGAAGGCTGAAGTGGACCGATCGCCTGAGCCAAGCTGATCGAGGCTGCGGTACCCATGAGCGTGCCACTGCACTCTAGCCTGGGTGACAGAGTGAGGCTCCAACTCAAAAAAAAAAAAAAGAGTAATAAGGCTAGGCATGATGGCTCATGCCTGTGGTCCCAGTTACTTGGGAGACTGAGGTAGGAGAATTACTTGAGCCCAAGAATTCAAGACTATGGTGAACTATGCTCATACCACTGTACTCCAGCCTGGGCAACAGAGTGAGACCCTGGTTCAAAAAAAAAAAAAAGAAAAGAAAAGAAAAAAAGCATAGGCTTACAGAGGGCTTTTTAGGAACTTACACCTAATTAGTCTATTCTTTTGTTTCTTTGAGTCTGAGTCTCACTCTGTCACCCAGGCTGTAGTGCAGTGGCACAATCATGGCTACTGCAGCCTCGACTTCCTGGGCTCAGGCAATCATTCTGCCCTAGCTTCCCAAATAACTTGGACTACAGGTGTGCGCCACCACGCTTGGCTAATTTTAAAAATTTTTTTGTAGAGAGGAGGTCTCACCATGTTGCCCAGGCTGGTCTTGAACTCCTTGGCTCAGGCAATCCTCTCACCTCAGCTTCCCAAAGTGCTGGGATTACAGGTGTGAGCCACCACACTCAGTCAGTCTATTCATTCTTGTTTACATTTTTTAGGCATCTCCAAATTTCATACAACACTAAGTAAGGTAGAGAAAAAGGGTACTCAGGTAATTCAAATAAAATAACTTACTTCTTCCCAGATTACTTAGTGAAATCATGAAGCAAAACTTACCTACCTAAAAATTCAGAGATCTATGATTAGTTAATATTTAAACCTTTGACAAATCTCTTTCCTGGATAACCACTGGCATCTTTCAAAAACTGTAGTTAAGCAATGAATGCAATCAAGCTTAGTTGTGTCTATGACCATGACATCTAAATGACCAACTAAAAAGTAAAGAAGTCCAAACTAGCTGCTTTTAGTCTGCAATACACAACTTATCCCAACATTACATATACAAGAACATAGACGTAGTTCATTTGTGCTGCTACAACAAAATACCTGAGAGCAATTTATAATAGTTCTGGAGGCTGAGAAGTCCAAGATCAAGACACTGGCAGGTTCTATGTCTGGTAAAGACCAGTTCCTCACAGATGGCACCGTTTAGGTGTCTTCATGTAGCAGAACAGAAGAGTAAAAAGAGCCTAAGCTAGTTATTTCCTTCCATTTTTACAAGGCTTTTTACTAATCCATTCATGAGGACAGAGTCCTCATGATAGGAATCACTTTCCAAAAAAACCCTCCTCTTAATGCTATAGACACACCACAATAAGGATTAAGTGTCAACACATTTGGCGGGGAGGGGCATATTCAAAACACAGCATGCACTTTTCAATATCTTAATAGATTCCCATGCCTCAAGAGACCAGACTAGATAAAAATTCGGACACTTCTTTGGTTACTCTTTAAAACATTAAAATCTATACTGAGAGTGGGTGGGACACAAAAGTATGACATTTCATTGGACATGGTGCTGGTTAACACAAAACGCTGCACTTCCTTGTTCACTAGCCAACAAGTACAGCTATAATTTTAAATAGGAATTGTAATTAGAAATAATGAGAGCAATTTCTTGAGTTACTCCACCTTTAAATTATATTTTATTGAGACTTATCCTTTGAAATTACTCATGATTAACCTACCCTGTTCATGCAAGACTTTAGGAAACTTCTTTCATAATTCTGTGGCATCTTTAGGAAAAAAAATTGTGTACATGTGAGAAAGTTCTGACAAACATCCAATTAAAAAAACACTCTCTCCAAAAAGACGTTGTAAAAGTAAAATTTTGCATTTTATTCATTCATTCCATCAGCTGGGAATTGCTCTATTGTACAAATACAGTTTTGTACAAAAAAATCACAAAATGTTACAAAATAAAAAAAAGTACAAACTGCATTACTTAATAAATAGGACTAAAAGTAGTTAAAGTGGCAATGAGATAGATTTTAGGTTGGAAACATTGTTTGACCCAGCAAACCATACAAGCTCTGTTTAAAGACATTTTTACATTAATACAGGGCAATCCTATTTTGCCTTTTGAAAGAATTTAAAAGGAATATTAAGACAGTATTCTCCTGCTATGAAAAGACTGCCAAGGTTGGCTCCAGGCATTTATGTTGTTAGTTTTTAAATCTGTTTAGTTGAATCCAAGAAGCTAAATAAAGCAGGAGGCTATTTCATCACAAAGTTTTATACCACGTTAAAATTCTTGTATAACAAAATGACAACTGTAAATAAAAACAATTGAGAGCACCAGACAATCTACTCTAAACATCAACCAGAGTACAGAATAATCACTCTGCCATCAGCAAATATCAGACTTTCATTCAAGTGAGACCTGGTACTATCCCTTAAAAAAAAAAAATCTTTCCACAACCTTCCCTTAAGTATTTCTCCTTAAAAGACTGACCGTTTCTTAAAAAAAATAATGATTTCAAAACAACAAATCTGTTTCATCAAAATGGAATGGGCCAATCATCTGGTAACAAGAATGCATCAAAATCTACTTGAAATAACTACCTAAGAATTGTCAACTTCAAATTTCAACAACATAAAACAACTACTAAATCACAAACTCTATTCAAAATAATAAACTTCATATAAAGCACTTCTCTGGATTTAGGCCTGAAAGCTGTTTGTCAAAATGAAACACATCATAAATGAAAGTACACCAATTTTTAAAAATGTTGTGCAAAAATACATTTTTATAGAAAATAGACTACCAGGAATGAACAAATTTACACTGTGAGAAATTAGCTTGCAAACTAAGTAGTGCTCACTTTATAAAGCAAATTATAAATAGCAGTAGAATCACCCAAAGCTATCATGAAACATCATTTAGGTGCCCAGCAACCTTCAGCTCTGGGAAAACATTCAAAAAGATGATTAAGGCATTACACCTACAGCAAATCTACTAGGAAGTTTAAAAGTGCTTTACCCTGATTAGAGTTCACGTGATTCTCCAAACACAAGTTATGTATGCAATTTTCCCAGGGTGTAAGGTTTCCAGACATTTCAAGAGCATGCATTTTGTTCAATATACATTTTCGATAGGGATATGGCCATAGATTTGGCAAGTTCTTCATCGCGTTTTCTTTGCACTTGAGTTTGTTTGCACCAGTTGTCGTACTCTGGGTTAGGATAGGAGTGATCAAACACCGCATCATAGTGTCCATTACTGAGCCAGCTGAGCCAAATACTAGGCCTTAGGGAATCCTCTGGGCCCAAATAGTGAATCATGGTAGACACTGTGGGGCTCTCCAACCTCCCTCCGGTAGTTAGGTGTATATTCACATTCAGCATCTGCCCCATAGCCAGCAATTCAGGGTACCCAGCCCATGCCCCGTCTTGGGCGGCAGCAATGATAAACTCCCCCACGTCGCCCTCAATCAGGGGGCTAAAGTGGTCGAGATGATCGGCGATGTAGTGCACCGTCTGCTCCCTCAGCTCCCGGTGCAGGCTCTGATCCCCGTACACCGTCTTGCTGACAGCTCGGTAGAGGCAGTTGCCGTCGGGAATGATGTGGAATCGGAACTTGCTCCTCTGTCGCAGGTACTTGTCCTGCTTCTCCACCTCGGCCAAGTACAGGGCTAGCTTCTCGTCTCTGGGATCCGACCTGGAGACAACCACCGTCTCGGCCGCGCTGCTCTGGGCGACCTCGCTGCTCCGCGCGGGGGGCGCC